TAATGCCACAGAACATTGCACAACTCACACATGCAAGTCAACAAGCATACAACACCACACAATACATACTCAGCACTTCACTGCACTCAAACGCACAAGCATACAACACCACACACATTATGTAAACAACATACTCCACTCTATACCACACACACAAACATAAAACAGCACAAATATCAAAAAAAGAATGTTGATGCTTACTGTTATTTGTTACAGATTGTTTACTGTTGTTCTGTAATCTGTATTTTTAGTCATTTTCAAATCAAAATCCTGTGTAATGGTAGAACACAGCATGCACCTTAAAAACACACACAAACACTACTTTCCATGTTTTATGGGGACTTCCTATAGGCATAATGGTTTTTATACTGTACAAATTGAATATTCTGTCCCCTAAACCTACCTCGGGGGAAAATAATGATTTTTATACTGTACAAACTGTAAATTCTATCCCCTACCCCTAAACCTGAGGAAAACATTTTGAATTTTTACATTTTCAAAAAAATATATGTATCATTTTAGTGATTTATAAGCTGTTTTCCTCATGGGGACCAAAAAGAAATGTTACTATCCTTGTTGGGACATTTGGTCCTCATGATAGGGAATACCAGGTACACACACACACACACACACACACACACACACACACACTGTGCACTATTTCAAACATACTAACATTCAACTACATTTTAGAACAAGTCAGACATGTTTCTATATCTGTAAATTGTTGAACAGCTGAAAATGTTTTAAGAGATGTTTAAGTTGCATTTGTAAAAAAAAAAAAAAGAATAAAATAAAGAAGTCATTTAATATTCACCAGTTGTAATTTTAAGTAATTGAGCAGTACCTAGGTATTTTAAAATACAAAAACTTAAAATTATCAATCTAAATGAGCTTAAAATTTATAATGGGGTGAACAAGACTTTTATTGTAGAAATAACTTAAAATTATTATTATAAACTACTTAAAATATTGTGTTACACCAGCTAATGCATTTGAGCAAAACTGTTCACTGGGATACTCAAACATTTAAGCATTGCCAACTAAAGATTTTTAGGTAACACTGCTTAAAATTCCATGCGAAATTTACTTAAGAAGAGGGATGCAAAAATTATGCACTATATTTTTAAGTAAATCTAGCATATGTTTTTTTCAGTGTTGGCTGATAAAATGTAATTTCACAAATGGGATCAAAACTGAATTATCTGAAAGTTGAGTGTTATGTTCCAGTGTTTGACAAGAGTGCAACACATCACTAGTGTTACAGCTGCACTCCACAGAGCTCTGAACAGCCAAAAGTGAGAGAGCGAGAGAAATACTTTAATCATCATAAAACATTACTATCCTCACTAGCACAGGAACACAGAATAGAACATTTTGTTTTTCAAGGGATACATTTTGATGGGGTGCAAGGTTAGACAGCACTGAGAGCACTTTGATTATTTCTTGAGAAATGTGAAAGGCATCCTGAGAAAGTCAGATTTAATAATAACACCCACTACAGACTACAACGCCACACATTCCTATATAATAGGTCATGACATATAAGGGAACCCAGGGAAATAAGCTCCTCGTTCTACAGGTGATAAAATATGATACAATCATTTTCTTTGAAATTGAATGAATCGCCTGGTAAGACCTTGTGGTCATGAGGGTGTGACATTGCGTGTCTTTATGTGCTTGTGTGTGAAGCCAAGCCCAGAAAGCATATTTTCATGAGAGAGAAAAAAAATACTTAAAAAAAAAAATTGTACCTTTGTTTTGGCAATTTTGAAATCAGTTTTTGAAATCTCTCAGTCATACTTGCTGAGAGATTTCAAAAACCTGCACAGGTGTCAACCATCAGCTGAAATAATCAATTGGGACAAAGCACCGGCACCTTTCTTGGAAGCACTTCGCAGTATGACGCCATAGCAGCCTTTATGTGTGCCACTCACACAGACGGTTGGAGAAGATGGAAATGCCTGTCAGAAAGCTCATGACTGCATTATCACTTGCCAGCCAACCGAGACCTCTCTCCTTTCTGTCGTTTATGACAGCTTCTCTCACAGCATCTGATTATTAACTGTTTACATCTCAAACAACAGATATCAGCAGGAGGACCAAGCCTCAAAAAAACTAAAAGTGAATGAATAACATGGGGAAAATGTATAGAAAATCCATTATGCTGAAAATGGATACTGAAAATTTAGCTTTGCCATCACAAGAATAAATTACATTTTAAAATATAACAGATATTTTAAATTGTACTGTAATAATATTACACAATATTACTCTTTTTTTACTGTATTTTGATCACATGCAGCTTGTTGACCATAAGATACTTCCTTCAAATATATAAAACTACAAATGAATATACAGTATAAAATAAATACATTCGGGATGATACATCTATTCACTCTGTTTGTTTGTTTGTTTGTTTGTTTTGTCAATTATTAAAAGTATATAATATTACTGTATAATGCACACTATTACTATTATGTTTAATAATTTTAAATGTTTATCAAAGTTTATTAAAATAATATAATTTATTAAAGGAGACCTATAATGTTCCTTTTTTACAATATCAGAATCAGAATCAGAATGAGCTTTATTGCCAGGTATGTTTACACATACGAGGAATTTGTTTTCGTGACAGAAGCTTCCACAGTGCAACAGAATGACAGTGACAGAACAAAAAAACACAGATAATAAAAAATAAAAATAAATAAAAAATAAAAAATAGAACAAGTAAATAAGGAATAAAAATATACAAATCGACAATTGTATGTACAGGTATATAACAATAGACAGTTGTATGTACAGGTATATTATGTGCAAATTGAAATATGTGTGTTAGATAAATAAGTGTATGAGTGAATATATAGTGTGTGTTCCACAGTTATTGTCAAGTGTTCATGAGATGGATTGCCTGAGGGAAGAAACTGTTCCTGTGTCTGGCCGTTCTGGTGCTCAGAGCTCTGTAGCGTCGACCAGATGGCAACAGTTCAAAGAGGGAGTGTGCTGGATGTGAGGGGTCCAGAGTGATTTTGCCAGCCCTTTTGCTCACTCTGGATGAGTACAGTTCTTGAAGAGAAGGGAGGGTTGTACCAATGATTCGCTCAGCAGTCCGGACTACCCTCTGTATAAAAACAACTGCGGAGCACGCCACGGAGGCAGCCATCAGCGTCGGTCCCATCGCGAATCAATGCGACTGTTATATGTAATATACATCTCAGGTGTCCCCAGAATGTGTATGTTTTAGCTCAAAATACCCCACAGATGATTTATTATATCGTTTTGAAAATGCCTATTTTGAGTGGAAGCAGAAACAGGCTGTTTTAGTCCATTTCTCTTTAAATGCAAATGAGCTGCTGCTCCCCGCCCTCTTTCCCAGAACAGGGCTGCAATTTTAGCTCGTATCTCAGATCTCTGCCAAAAAACATCCATTTGGTTTTGATCATCATGTATATCGCGCTGAAATCACGCGTTTTAAAGCCATATCAGTTTAAATTTCTGATATACGTTTTTCTGGACGCACACATCCGTAGCACGCGAACAGCGGCTGTCACACGCATGTGAGTACTAAAAGTTCTCTTTCACACACAAGTTTATGTTAAAAACACGATTAAGTTACAAAAACACAGTCGGTTATGTCTGTGAAGTTAAACAGCTGGGAAAGAAATCGAAATTCTATATTAGATCAGTGTATTAAGTGACAGCAGCATAATATGCAGTACCAATACTGGCCGCTGTGTGCCTTTACAGCTCGTTCCTCAGATACTCTGCTAAAAAAAAAACATCTATTTGGTTTTGATTATCAAGTCTATTGCACCGAAATCATGCATTTTAAACCACATTAGTTTAAACTTCTGATATATGGTTTTCTGAGCGCACAGAAAGCAGCTGTCACATGGCATGTGAGTACTAAACTAAGTTCTCTTTCATGTCTTATTGCGCTTAACACACATGAGTTACAAAAACATTTGGTTATGTGTAGGTAAACAGCTGGGAAACAAATTTTTGTATTTTGTGTTACATGTTTATATTAGATCTGTGTGTCAGCAGCGTAATATACAGTAAATAAATCAACAAATCCATTGCTCTCTTGTCTCCTCTTAGGCTGGGACTTTTGTGTTTTGTGCTCGTCAGTGCAGCCAAAGACAGAAAAGTTAGCATGCTTTGCTTGAACTTTCGCCATGGCATTAGAACTGGTACACCGTTGTCACTTGCAAAAACACAATGGAGTCACCGTAGGTGGAAACTTACAGATTAAGGGGCAAGATCTGAGCAACTTGTTTTTCACAAGCTTGCAGAGAATGGCTTACCGTGGCTTACTTGGGTTGTTCTTTTTCATGTTTTCTGGATTGGTAGATGCACCAGGGACACAATTATAGCACTTAAACACGAGAACAGGTCAGATTTACATGATATGTCACCTTCAATGCTTTTAGTAATTGTCTTTTATGTGTATTTTTTTATGTTTTTAGTATTATAAACCCTATTTTACCATACCAATAAAACATGTTAATTCTGCTTCTGAAAGCCTGCCAAGCCTGGGGGAGAAATGTCAGTCAATCATTTTGATTTGCAATTAGACTAGTGTATGATTTATACTACTGCTATAGTCAAGTAATCTGACTGAAATAAGAAATTCAATGGTCAGGCATAATAACAGTCTTTCCTGAAAAAACATCAAAAGATTTTGAGATTTTGTCTTTTTTTTCCCATGTAGTTAATCCCAGTATACAGCTACACATAAATCTATTCTGCTCAAATCAATGTACGCTTGTTCTCTTTTTAGTTTTCCTTCCCTTTTCACCGTTTTTTTTTTCTCACACTTGTGCCTGCAAACACCCACAAGTGTACTCACACACGCACAGAGTTGTTTCCCATCTGCAGAGCTCTTCCTGTCGTGCCGTGGCTACTGCAGACACTCCACACACGCACTCACGACCCTATGAGATCTGCTACGCTTGTTCTTTTGTCTCTCTTGCGCCATTGTTCCCTCATTTCCTTACCTAAAGTGCAGGCGGCAAGTGCGCTCGTTTTCCAGCTCTGTAATCGCTGTTTTTTTCTCCGCCTTCACGCTCTCCATCTCACGCGTGACCACGCACAGCTGCAGGTCAAGGCCCTTCATGCTGGAAAAGAGACATAGAGTGAGATATACACAGAAAGCAGCAATGGCACAATAATTATTACGTTAGAGTTTTTATATATATATACAGTGGGTACGGAAAGTATTCAGACCCCCTTCAATTTTTCACTCTTTGTTATATTGATCAAACACAGCTGGACTCAAATGAAGGTGTAGAACCATCTCAAGGCTGATCAGAAGAAATGGACAGCACCTGAGTTAAATATATGAGTGTCACAGCAAAGGGTCTGAATACTTAGGACCATGTGATATTTCAGTTTTTCTTTTTTAATAAATCTGCAAAAATGTCAACGATTCTGTGTTTTTCTGTCAATATGGGGTGCCGTGTGTACATTAATGAGGAAAAAAAATTAACTTAAATGATTTTAGCAAATGGCTGCAATATAACAAAGAGTGAAAAATTTAAGGGGGTCTGAATACTTTCCGTACCCACTGTATATATATATATATATATGGAACAATATTGTTTGTGTGTAAACATTTCACATGTCGATTTTCCAAATATAAAAAGTCTTTATTTTTCTCTCAATAAAAGTTCAATGGCAGGAGAGCGGCCCAGCCACAGAGCAGGAGGGTTGCGTTACGCGCTGTGTGTGTGGATTGTGTGAGACTAAATGAGAGACAGATTCTGTAGGGCAGATATACGGTCTGCAGAGTATTATGGGCTTTTGTGGATCTCACAAAGACAAGGTCGCTATAGCAACGGAAGAGTACACACCAAGGCTGACTAAATCCCTGGCACGAAGGGGTTTATCGAACCTGAGGCAATAGCTGATGTATCAGTGTGATATCACTGGGAGCGTAATTGTCTGACATTGTGTTTGCGTGTGCCCATTTCAGTGCCTATTTCAGGCTCGTGTTTGTGTAAGACAGAACGAGAGCGTGAGAGAGAGTGTGTGAGTGCTATTGTTTGTGTTTGTGCTGGTAAAAGACATGGGTTTGAATAAATTTAGACCTAAAAAAGATTCCCAGCTGCAGATTCTTGGCTTCTTGTGGTGAAGTCATGACTTTTATTCACATCTGTATGTATTCGTGAGAAATCAGAATGCATGCGGATCTATAAATTCCAATGCATTAGTTTCCAGTAGCTGAACTCAGAAACGGCCCAAGTGTTTGTGGACACGCTTTGAATCTGTTTGCGTCTGGACAGATTCTGGTGCATGCTGGTGTAGGACAGCCATAGAATCAAATTTTGTGATCTTGCAATGATGTATTTCAGTTAATAGCCCTCTATGGAAAATGGAAAATGCTTAGGAAACTAATTTATTTGAGAGAAATTCATTTCTCTTCTAATTAAATTCATATGTACTTCAAACTTCTATGGTCTCAAATGGAATTGTCATTCAATATGTCCTTCAATGCTGTTCTTCAAAGCATAACGCATCCCGACTGCTGAGCTGATTCTGCGCTCTGAGTTCTATACTTTGCCTGAGAACAAGTTGTTCATGCATAAATTAATAACTGCAAAACATTTAATTGATTCAGTTTTCTATAAAATGTCCCAAGGAAATGCATTATTGAAGCTTCAGCTGGAATACAGAGTAGCAGACATGTTGTTATAACATAATGTTTTTGCTAAATTAGATTTTTTTAAATATATATTATAATACAACATAGTTATTTAAATTGATTTTTTTTTCATATTGTGTGTAATTGCAGCCTTGGTGAGCACAAGAGACTAATTTTAAAAATAATTTTATAGAAGAAAATCCACACACAAACACACACACACTCAAAAACAAACAAACAAGCCAGGTTAAAATCTCAGCAGATGCTCACTTACAACAAAATCCTGAAAAACAAATACACACGGCACAGCTGTGTTCTCCTAATGAATATACTCTATTGTTTGGATAATGTTAAAAGAGCTCTATTGCCAGATCAGTTTATGGGGTGTATGGGGAATGTAAGTGTATAAGGGGCAAAAACGCCTTCCAGATCAATATTCTTAGTTTGACATTTGTGATATACTGCCCTTTTGAGCTTAAGTGTCTGCTCATACTGTGAAAAAAGGACTTCAAAAACCCCACAAAGGAAAAGAAAAATGAAGCTCTTTTGACTCTTTATTATCCCTTAACAAATCTCAGAGCCACAGCTGAACACAGAGATGCAAGAGTGAGAATGTACTGTTCTCACTTCTGTTGTCAGACAATCCAGCCATGCTGAAATATGGCGCAGCTACAAATGGCTTCGGAATGCACTGTACCCAGTACTGTCAGTGAAATGACACACGCTACAATCTTGTAAGGACATGAGAGACCTGTTCCAGAATCTTCATCACTTATTTAAGGGCACTGAGAAAGCAGCACGAAACATTATATTCATCTTCAGATGCCTCTGTTATTTCCATTATACATTCCCACCCATCCACACAGGTAAATTCCAAGGCTTATGGGTATTTAGAAGGCTTCAGATGATAAATACCGCAGAAATGAGCAGATTACAGAGTATTTAATCAGAACATAAATCCATACGTTAAGATTTAGTGCAGACTGTTGTGATACAGAGGGTTCTGATGTATTGTGGGTAAACGCAGCAGTTGGCCCTATTGTCTCAAAGCAAGGCTTAAAGAGACACAGTTGCAGAGCTAGCGATGTCTCGCTCATTACCTCACTTGTTACTCAATCAGAATTAGAGCAGAGCCTCAGACTGGGTACAGACATTCAGCTGCCTACGGAGTGTGTGTGTGTGTGTGTGTATGTGTGTACCAAGAGATATGAGTCGTGATAAATCCCAGACTAAAGACGATGCTGCTGTTCTCTCATCTACAGGACTGTGTGTGCGTGTAGGAGGCTGAAAAAATCGTGATAACAGCGAGCAACTGGCTGTGGTTGCAACCATGTGCGTGAGTGAGCCGGGGAACCGACCTGCTCTTTCTATTAACATGTGATTGAGTGGGAGGCCGAGTGTGCGTATGCTTCCGTACATTTATCTGTGTGACTTCATGCAACGGTGAATCACTATAATGATTTTGTGCTAGTTATAGACATTTATGATACTGTGTCACTGGCTTTGTTCCAATACCTAGTGAGTCAGTTGGTGTCTACGGCCTACATAGGCTGAAATGAAACCTCATAAGTAAGTGATTTGAAACTATACATAGGCAGTGACTTTGAGCTCCTCACATGAAGCATACAGATTTTTCAATGCAGCATATTTCTAAGGGAACAACATGATACACTAATAAACATAAAAATGCATAACACTGGTTAAATATTTCTGCAACTGGAAACTAAAAAAATCTGGTATATTTTTTTTTCTGAAATATAATAATGCATTATCACAGTTGACAGAAAACACTGATAGAAATGTGTTATGCTTAAATGTTTGAAAATATGACAACTGTTTGTAATTGAATTTTTGGATGCTGAGGTAGCCCAGGAGAGGATGGGAATTTGTGTTTTGCCAACAAAAATATGCATTTAAAAATAATAATAATGATAATGTTAATACAATTTATTTATTAAATAAATAATAACAGTACATTTAAATAATAATAAATATTTAAAAAGAAAACAGATGCAAGACAATAATTCACTGCACAAACCATGTTTAGTTCTACTGCAAGAGACATCAATTTTTGTGCCAAATAATTGGACATAGCCTTGGACGTCTATAACAGAAAGTTTATGAAAAGTTTCGGGACATAATCCTATTTTTATTTTGCTATTCCAAAGATGGAAAATCTGCTTATTAATAGTTAGTAAGGTAGTTGTTAAGTTTAGGTATGGGGTCAGATTACACTCTAAAAAACGCTGGGTTGTTTCAACCTAACTTTGGGTCCAACCAGCTGTTGGGTTTTACATTTTTTACATTAAATTTATAACCCAAAAGTTGGGTTAGTCCATATTTGACCCAAAGAAACAACCCAGTATTTTTTAGAGCGTAAGAAATCTAAAATATGGCCATGCAGAATAAGGCATTAACATATGCTTCATAAGTACTAATAAACAGCCAATATGCTAGTAATATGCATGCTAACAAGCAACTAGTTAGTGAGAATTGGTCCTTAAAATAAAGTGTTACCAGTCTGCTATGCTATTTGCGTCCCCCATCAGTACAATCTTGTGACTCATATACTCATAGTATGCCAGATTTATAATTTGAACCAGAGTCGGATAATAACTTGGCAGCAGTAATGTAAGCAAATGCCATGTGTTTGTCACATAAAGAACGATTAAATGAAAAGTCATAATTTCATTGCCTAATTAAATTAGACAAGGACCTAATATAAAATCAATACCAGTGAACCGGGTACACATCTGGATAACCTATGTGTTGACGTACTATGATCAACATTTGTCTATTCTCCCAACACATCCAGCCTTGTTTTGCCAGCCATTGTGATCAAAAGAAGAAATATCACACCATCTAACAAATAACCAATTACGCAACGATTAACAAGTACGATACAGCATCATGCCAACAAAATGTGCCGGTTCCGCTTCTTTCAGCATGCCGGAAGACCCAGTGGGCTTCTCACCCCTCTGTTGAACAGCTCTGCGACTGAACGTGAGGTTTTGATCAGCAGTGTGAAGCTGGGGAGCATTAGAGTAATGAACACAGAACAGAGACGTGACTCATGGCCGCATTCCCAATCAGTCGAGAAGCTCATAGAGCTCATTCTAAATCACCATCTTACTGAAAGAACCAGGCTACTGGGAAGCAGCCATGTGGAATATTCTGGATCACTTCTCAAACCTTTGGAAATACAAAAAGGGTTGCTTTAATCATTGCAAAGACAAACAAAACCTATCCTAATTAACTGAACTGACATGTATAGTCTGGCTAATTTTATTACTCGGCGCTGATGAGCAAATGAAGCGTTAATGTGAAAACAAGAATAGAAGTAGCACGCAAATTTCAAAGGGCAATAGTGTCAAAAAAGACTGTGTGTGTATGTATAAAACAGAGAAACAGCCTGTCCTTCCCTTCCTAAAGCATTTCCTTGATTATAATCATTGCTATGGCATCATTCATGGA